AACAAGAAGTTTTCAGGGTTTGTAAAAATTAGATTATATTAGTTGTATCTGTCTGATATTTTTGCTAGAAACGAGGGGTGGGATAAGTGGTAAGATAAGAATAACACTGCTTCACTAACCCTACTTCTACCCTCCTGTTCATCTATGACCCTGGTTATATGTTCCTACTGTCCAAGGATATAATTCTCCATTATATGAAAAGTGACTGAAATACACTATTCTCTGTGTACTGACTGAATAGCTACCTTCAGACCCTCAAAGTTATATCCAGATACAGACCAAAAGCACAGAACTGATGATGCTGAGCTGATGCTAAATATAAACAAGAAAATAGCCAAACCAGATTCATAATCCTTAGGCATCTTAGGATGGCCACAATTCCAACTAAGAAGTCAGGTGATGCAAGTTTGAAGATCTGAATAAACCCTTAAAACACTTTATATAGACATAAGATTTTAAAAAATGATTACACAGCCCGGCCAGGCGTGGCTCAGCGGTTGAGCGTCGACCTAGGATCCAGGCGATCAGGGTTCAATTCCCGGTCAGGGCACATGCCCGGGTTGCGGGCTCAATCCCCGGTCAGGGGCATGTAGGAGGCAGTCGATCAATGACTCTCATCATTGATGCTTCTATCTCTCTCTCTCCCTCTCCTTTCCTCTCTCTGAAATCAATAAAGATATATATTAAAAAAATGATTATACAATTTTGGGTCATGAATATTAAAGACACTTGAAAATTCAAAAAAGAAAGAAAGAAAACCAAAACCATAAAGAAAAAATTTTATATGTGAACTTATTAGAAAAATATTCACTTTTCCCAATACCATAAAAACAGCCAACAGCACCCAATAATCTGTTCTAAAAAGAGAAATATATTATACAGTAAAAGTGATTCCTCTTCATATAAATTTAATTTCCTCTAAATAATCTTCATATAAAGAAAAGAAAAATGTGAAACAAACATAATTTGCAGAATCCATTAAAGATATATTTAAGCATTCATATAGTACCTAACACCAAACATGCTCAAAAATCTCATTTAATCTAGGCCAGGAAAGAAAAGTGTTTCTCATCTCCCTTTGGCCATTTTTTTAGGGCTGAATTCAATATTGAGCAATGCAATTTATTCATGAGAAAACTTAATCTAGCCATCTTTACTTTGTCTTGAATCTAAAACCTACCATGCCCAAATCAGAATACTAGATTAAGAACACCAGTTGAGAAAATCACCAATGATGTTCAAAGTTAATACATTCAAGTGAGATATAAAACATTCCCATCTTAACTGATTTCTGCCTATAGTATCATTGGTATTTTTCTAGCAGATGCTGGGTATGTTACCAACCAAGGAAGGAATAGGTCAAGGAGCAGCCACCAGCCACACGTTGGGAACTGCTGGGATACGGAGCAAATCTTCACATAACTACACCACTTACGTTTCCAATCTGATGTAGAAGTCAAAACATACCAGGTATCAGGCTTTACTTGCATCTAATTCTCCATCTTAAAGGATATTCTGTACACCTGTACACAGAGGTCTGAAGATCAAAGCCCTTGAGTGATCCTGGAACTAAGGAGTCTATCTGAGGCTCCGCTGTACCGCACCCTGCTCAAGGGAGGCTGTCCAGTCCCGTCTGCAGTCAGTTTCCCATTCTCCACCACACCCCCATCCCCACACACACCATATCTTCACTCTCCACATGACCCTACTTAGAATCCATGGGCAACCACTAAAGTTACTCCCTGTGTATGTACACAGCCAACCCTTTGTCCCTTTCTCCCTCCATCTGATGCACCTACCTGGCAAAGATAAAACCCTGATTAAACCCAGTTATCTATCTACTACACATGTGCATTAGAGCAACTAAAAATAAATGAAGAAAAATGTACAACTTTCCAACACCCCTCATTTCACATTCATAGCCACAAATCTGAAATGGGCAACCATCACTGGTCAGTAACAGCGAAATATCCTATAGTACCTAGTTTGTTCATCTTCCCAATATCCAAAATAATTATTTTGTACTTTCTCCCCTGTTCTCAAACCTCCTACACCTACCCACTCCCCCAACTAATGGATGCATTGAGAAAATAAAAGCAATCAGACACAACTAACTCTTCCCTCTACCAAAACTACCTACCTAACCCATCATCCTCCTTTTTTTCTATTAAAACGAGTGATATGTTACCACTCCCATCGAAGTCCACCCCCTCCATTTGTGCTCTGGACCTCATTATCTTCTCACTTCCTCAAGGAACTTATGTCCTTCTCTGTCCTGCATCATCAGTTTCTCCCCCAATGGATCTGTGGTATCATCATACAAACTGCCTCTAATATGTCTAGTCACTGAAGTCACATCCTGCTACATTAACTATCCTAGTTCTTTTCTTCTTGAAAGAGATGACAATATGGTTGCTTTTACTTTCTCTCCTCATATTCTTTATTTAGTTTAATCAGTCAGGTTTCTTCTTCTACTCAGTTGTAACTGAGGTTACTACTTGTCAAGGTCATTAGAGAAGCCCATCTACCAAACCCAACATTCACATGTCTGTTCTCTTTCCTGACCTCTCAATAGCATTCAATGCTGCTCTCCATCTTAAAACATCTCCTTCTCCTACCCCACACAGTGATCACCAATAACCTTTATGTCACTAAATTCATTTTTTTATCACTATATAGTGATTATAAGTTCAGGCTATTGAGTCAGATGGACCCAAGTTCAAATCTTGGCTCCATCATTTTCTAGTATCCAATTTAGGAAAAGATACTAAAACCACTGAGCCTCTGCATCTTGATCTACAAACTATGGGAAATATTAATAACTAATTCATAGTTGTGAGGTTTACTTAGCAGCATGTGACATAATCTGTCCTCCAAGAAATGCTCTTTTCCTTTGGTCTACGGCTCTTCCTTCCCATCACTGTCATAAGCTCCACCAGCTCTACTTCCCTTTCAAATTTAGGAGTTCATTTAAATTCTATACTCTCTTCCTAACTGACCGATCTCTTCCATTCTCATGACTAACATTTTAATCTAAACTTCAATAATATCCAAATCTCAATTTCTAATCTATAATTTTCTCCCAAGCCCCAGACTGCCAACCAAACAATCTTCACTAGGATATCTCAGCTACCTCATACTCAACATACTCAAAACATAAGTATCCTTTTTCATGCGCTCTTCCTCCACCTAAAACTCCTCTGCCCTTGACAGCCTCGGGTTCCTTGCTAGTTTCCACAGTTCCATGTATTTCCTCTTTCGAAACAGTCACTAAGCTTATATTTATTGGCATAATATACAGTGGTGGGATAAGTAGGTTTACAGTTGCTTGTATGGAAAACAATACAATAATTAATAATAATACAAAAATAAACTGTTTTGCATGCTTACAACTGTAAACCTACTTTTACCAATCCCTGTGTGTATTCCCTGCTAGAACATAAGCTCCATGATGAAAAATAAAACCTGTCTACATCACTAACACCTTGTCTAGCACTTCATGCATAATTAATGATTACTAAATATTTCTTGAATTGTATTCGAGCTAATAAAGGAAAGTAAATTTAAATTACTAAGGGAATATGCTAGAATATATTCACTACATGGTTATATTAATAACAATACATTTGTGAAATTCACACCTGTTCTTGAGAGAGGCTCAGAAAAATTAAAGGTCCTTCAGAATCAGGCAACACAAACATCATCATTAAGGAGATCAAAATACTTTAAAATACTTGTATTAGAAAATACAAGAGTTCATGATCTGAACAGCATATGTATTTTTTCTTACTGAGAAATCTGTCATAAAGAGATCAGAGGATATTTTTTCTTTTTAATGATATAGCCTACTTCTTTGTTCACAAGACATCAACATCAATAATGTCATACAGCCCATACAATAAGGTTGTTCATAAATGTAACTTCTATTGAACTGAGATAACAACATCAAAACATACAACTTTACTTACTATATAAAAGTGTTTTAGTGTCTCTCATTGATTTAAAGTGTAAAATTGTTTCAACTTAATCAAACAAAGAAAAAGAAAAATAGAATCCATACAACTATAATTTTATAATGAAAAATAACAATCATTGCATTTTAGAACAATTTTAACACTTTGAAACATATACACATATTACAGGATCAAGTATTAAGTTGTTAAATAAGCATAATACAGTATTCTCACAATGAATACAGCACAGGGCTCTGAAATAAAACTGCCTAATTTCAAATCCTAGTTCTGCTGTTTATTAGCTATATAACATAAGAAAATAACCCCTATGTGATTTCATTTCTCCATCTACCTATAAAGCAAGAATAATAAGTATTCATATCTGGTAGAGATGTTTTAAATATTAAAGGAGATAATACCATGTCTAACACAAAAAGTAACCACTAAAACAAAGCTTCCCTCCATCCCTTTTCAGCACTCTAGACAGAATTTGTGATAAATTTTGAAAACAAAAATAAAGAACTTTAACTCAAAAAAGCAGTCTTGAAAGTCCTAACTTCATTTGATCATAATTGCCCATCCATTAAGTACTTTCTGGAACCTAAGCAGAACCCAGTTCAACATTAACATAAATGAAAGTTCTCTTGTCAAGGAGGTTTCATCCCAGCTGAAGAAAATAAAGTGAAACACAGGACTTTCCTAAATGATGTACAAAAAAAATTCAGAATCACTTACTAACAAACATAATTGTCCTGAACAGCAAATTTACTGGGGGAAACGCAATAAAACAAGATTAATAGCAACACTTAAATATTTTAGTGTTTTTAGGATATTCGAAGTTAAAGTTTTGATGTCATTCAAAATTACAGACATTTGTTACATATAAAACTGCTCTTCTCCATAAAAAGAAACTGCAAATGTCTATGATTAGCCTGGAACTAGTTACAGTATAACCTAACACAGCCATTCAACTATCTTGGGGATTTTTCAGTCTCTTCTGTCATAAAGAAATTAATACAAGTGACAAAATATAACCAAAAAAGTCAATAGTGTGGAAGGTTTTTTAATGTATTTCATCTTGGCAAATGATCACATACAAATTAAACACTGAAATCATGATGATTTCATTTATTTGTTCTGTACATATCTGATTAATGGGCATTAATTTTGTTGATGGAAACAAGCAAATTCTATTGTAATATACAGATTAGAAATGTAAACACTTAGCATTTCCCACAACTACTGACTTCACAAATTATTCTGAATGTTATTTCAAATAATACTGTGACTACCAGAGTTAAGAAAGCAAAGAGCTCTACTGCCCCCTAATGAAATAGGCAAAAAAATAAGTAAATAAAACCACAACAAAACCTAAAAAACAAAAACACTCCAGAAAACTCCTTTTGAAATATCTGTGAAACGGGAAAATAATCTTACTTTGCTAAATGCAATAGACAAACACTAAAACAATTAACTAAAAACAACTAGAATATATATCAAATACTGTAGGAAAAACTACAATCACCCAGTTTCCATGATAAAATTAGTAGCAAAACAGGAAAGCCTTGAGACAGAAATGTTCTAAGAGAAAGGAGACCAGTACAACAATGTTATCAAATGTGATAGCAATTAAAGCTTCACTGCAGGCTACACTTCTCATGTGTATGTTGGAACTGAATGAGAAGAAAGAGATTCTTAGAAATCATTCTTCGGTGAGTTACAGTAAGTTTTCAGTTCAGTGGCTCAAAGTAAATACCATCAATTCTCACAAATTTACACAGACTATAATCTTTTCAGAATAATTTTAATATAGGTATATTTTCAAGATACCTACTCTGTAAAATATACCTTTAAAATAATTTTACCTAATGCTTCCTGTTTGAAATAAGTGCCAATTTCATAAGTATGACAACTTTGTACCTTATGGTTCTTTGCATCATAAAAAAAACAGTGATTAACTTTTAATTTTCTTAATAACAGCTCTCCCTTCCTTTAACAAAGTTGGTTTTTAAAACACCCTCCATACTCATATTCCTTTTACCTAGCATTCCAACCTGTCAAGAATTCTGGAATTCTCATTTCAGAAAAGGACAAATGTTTAGGGAAAAGTAGTGTGTGGTTCTTAATAACAGGAGTTACATAACAGTTAACATACAGGAACCAGATATGGTAACAGTACAAAGAATAGAATGCTAGATCATAAAAACAGAATGTAAACAACAACAAAGTAAAAATTCCAGGCAGCTTTTCACTGAGGGGTGCAGAGGTGCAGTAGTTAACTGTTCCTTTACGGCTAGGGCACACCGCATCACTTGGGGATGGAATGTTCCTGTCCAGGTTGACAGTGGTTGAGCACTCCATCACGTGTATATTTCAGGAGATGTAAGAAACAGAGACCAATTCCACACAATGCTACAGGGGACATAGGCAATACAGTGAAAGAGGTTTACTTAAATCTGCTCACAGAATGAAAATATCCTTTACATTTGTGTACTGCTCTTTTTCCTGTCTATTTATTAATGAAAATGTTTCTTTATCTCTGCAAGTATAAGGGTGACCAAATGTCCATTCAAAATTTCAGAAAAGCAACACAAAAAATACAAAACCTATATGTATTCAAACCTATATTGCAAATGAGTGGAATCTCGCATCTGTATAGACTTCCTGAATAATATAAATGTAAAGCATGACTCTTTTACTAGAAGCATTACTCATTCATTCCTACTACCTAAAAATATAAGAGAGACATTGACATATTTTAAAGACATCATAAAGTTGCTGGGAGAAATTAATCCCAAAGTCAAGTATTGCTAAAGTCATGATGCTTAAAGCAAATCCAATACATGGTCAAAATAGTATCCTTCCAACCTATAAATTGCATTTAGCTACTTACACTTAACATATAGTAGTCAAGAGAAATGCAACAGTGAAGTTATATAGCTACTTGGAGAACAAATGCATGTGTGTGTGTATGTGTGTGTTTTCACTCATGGAATAGTTCCAGCCTACACCAGTGAGTTCCAGATTATTATCCTAAACCTAAAGAAATGCCTTCCCTAGTTCATAAGACGGGGGTGGGGGGGATGCAGGAAAGGATTTCCAGGTTCTCCTTTGCTTCCCCAATTTCCAATAAGAACAAATATGAAAAATATGATCAATAAGTAAAAAAAGGAAGAATGCAAGAGAAGAAAAATGAAAAGGTTAACTTCATCAGAAATGACAGCTTTTGTTTAAAACAAAAAGATTTATTAATTTATTAGCCCAATAAAGTTTTATTGATGATGATGATGCTGGTAGCAGCCAGCATTTATTGAGCATTTACCATACTACTAGTCATTTAACTAAGCACTTTACAAACACTGAGTATTTAATCTTCATAAAAACCCTGTGAAACAGGTAATACTATGCCTATTTACAGATGAAAAAATGGACACTAATAAAGATTAAGTAACTCGCTAAAGGTTACACTGCTACTAAATTGCAGAGAATATATAATATACCAATCAGTTTGACTCTTAACCAGTAAGTTTATATTATTTTACATTGAAAATGTATGAAATGAAATGATACTTTTGAAACAGTCCAATAAGTTAATAAATTATTTATATAAGACCCAAATCAATTTGAGATCCAAGATGGTGGCAGACTAGGTGGGTGTTACATTCCCACTCACTCAGTACCAAACTGGAATTACAACTAAAATATAAAACAATCTACCTGAATAACCACCTGAAGACTAGCTGAACAGAGGTCTTATAATCAAGGATTTACAGAAGAAGCCACATTGAGATTGGTAGGAAGGTCAGAGATGCAAAAAGGGCTGGCCCCACTCCCACAAGTGTTGGCTGAGATTCCTGAGGAATATCTCAGCTACAAAGCTTCCTCCTACAGTGCATGGGGTTGAGACCCCGTGCTGGACTCCCTAGGTCAGAACACCAGGGCCAGGAAGAGGTGTCCACATAACATCTGGCTTTGAAAATCAGCAGGGTTTCTGTCAGTCAGGGAGAGACTAGAGTCTGCTAGAGGCACAGGCATTCTCCTAAAGAACCAACACACCAACTCTTGTTTGCAGCTACTCATCCTGAGTTCCGGTGGAGGAAGGGCAAAGCATACTGAAGTCTTGTGAGGAGAGACTGGGGATTGTGGCTCTGGGAAGAGAGCTGAGGAAATAGCCACCAAGACCCCTGTGCTGAGTCATTCTCAAGCACTGCAGACGCCATCTCCCTTGGGTGGAGCACTCCCCTCTATACAGCATCAGCTTAGAGAAATGCAATAGCCACACCCCCTGGATGCCTTGTCATCCCACCCTACAGAGCTTGTGCCCTACTGAGGAGTGAGCTGCCTGGGCCAACATGTAGCAGTCTGAGCAGACTCGGGTGGTGTCAGTGATTGACTGGTGTGGCTTTGAGGAGGGGGCCATTCCCCACACTTTCTCATGAACCTGACTGGCACCTCCTCCTCAAGAGATCTGCTAGTCCCACACTCCAGGCTCCAGGTGGTTCCACTCTTCTGATTCCAGACTCCGAGGTCTGTACAGAAAAGACTGAGTTGTGTGTATCTGGCACTGGGGCCACTCCTCCCACCTTCTTTCAAAACTGACGGGCACTTCCCTCTCACAGAAGATCCACTAGCCCTACCCTCGCGACTCCCAGCTGCCTCACCCTGTTGAGAATTTTGGACAGGCTGAGTTGTATGGCTCTAGAATGAGGGCCATTTTTCCCTCATATGCCCAATCACTGCAGAGTCCTCCTTTCACACAGCCAAATCTTGGTCTGTTTGGGCCTGGTAAATTCTGGTGGCCTCTCCCTGATGACTACCTAAGACCCCGCTCCAACACAAACATCTATGGGTACCTGGCAGGTAGCAGCTAGACTTGGTATGCCCTGGGACATTTATATCTAAAAGTATAAAAATAGCTCTCATTGATATCTGAAATATGCATTTCTCTCTATTCTACAGTAAGAAAAACTATTCCATGAAACTCTTTAACCACTGATAAAACACTCAAATTTTCTGAAACTAATACTAAAGAAGAAATCACCATGCAGTACAAAACTAATTCAAAATTCTATTTTGCAAGAACTGGAATCTAAACATATGCACACACATATTACAGGTTCACAAACACAACTCAGGTCATCATATTCCAGTATTGGCTGAAAAACAACAGTATTCCTTCTACCATATGTATTCAGCCTAAACCATAAAACACACAGAAATATCCACAAATATCTAAGACATTACAATCATAATTTCACATGGCTACTACCAATTTTTTCCATTGCAGAATTTAAAAGAAGACATTATGAAATATTCTTGCGAGAAAGGCACCTTACAAGATAAGCTATTTCTTCAAATAAATAACAAAGTGATATGTAAATGTGACATCAAAACCTGTAACAAATAAAGATCTGTTAATTTGTTAATCCTTGTTTAATTTTAATCAAATTGTGTTTAAACTTTCAATCCAGAGAGCAAAGACCATGCTAACGATAAAGTACAAGATCTAGTAAAATAAAAATCATCTCAATGTGCTACCATTTCTTACCTTTGAATCTTCATTGCCCACGCCCAGCTGTAACACAGCTTGAGGAGATTTTAGTTTTGCTTGAGCCGAGTGAGCCATCTGAAGGTTAAGCTGCCATCCGACCGTCTCTAGCTATAAAAGAGAAGTGCAGATTAGAATCAGATAATACAGAAGAAAGAAAACACAACTTTAAGCAAATCTCCGCTCTGCAGGAATGAACATGGATAGTCTGGACTTCGTGGAAAGTCAGCTCCTGAGCTTTAAACTGCCAACTCTGCAAATTCTTCCTTTAGGCTCATCATATTGGCCTCATGCCATGCCTGTCAAATTCAACAGTAAAACTGGTCTTTAAATACAATCTGTTCTAAAAATAAAAGTTCTAAGATTAAGCAATAAAGTACACTAAGAGAGTCAATGGTTTTAAAATAGTATATTACTATTTTAAAATAGTACATTACTATATTAAAATAGTATATTTTAAAGCCAATGATTTTTAAATAGTTATAAATTTTAACTAGTAAATAGTGTATATTGGTCATAATCACTTCAATGACCTTCCATTATCTTTTAAAACTCCTTGCATGAGGTAGAACATAGGTAAGAGTTTTTTTAATTTAGAGGGAAACTGAAGTACCCAGATGGTAAGAGTTTCACACATTTAGACACAGTTAGTGAGACTGGAATAGCGCCAGGCAAAGAATTGCCATCTACTAGTGAGCAGGTGTTACCCAATAGACTCTCATGCTCGCTAAAGTGCTCTACCTTCCTATGATTCCCAGTTATGACAGGAACTAATTAGAACATTTCCTTTGAATTTATTAACACAACAGCAAAATTTAATCAGGTAAGGCAAAAATAGTAAAGACAGGCTAAAGCAGCATAAATGTGGCTTTATTGAACTTGAGAGTTTACTGGTTTCTCCAACCTCAGAACTATAAGTATAAAATTTTATACTTAATTTCCAGTAAATCTCAAGTACCAATATTTAGGGAAGTGTTGTGAAATGGAGTTGTCACATGCCTCTGACAACGTGACTTCAATAACTGATTTAGTAAAACTACCTTAGCCGCGTTGCTAAGAACAGCAGCCTCACAACAATTTTTACTTAACCAGAATACTAATTGCTAACTTGAAAGCCTGTTCAACAGCTAGAATCACAGCAGTGACTCAAAGCCGAATTGGAAAGAGAGCAATGAAAGTATTATCTATTCGAGAGAGGATGTGATGTGAAAATAAAGATACAGTTCTGTTCTCTCTGGCACTGAACCTTTTAGAAGTTATGGGGAAGATGGGGGAAGATGTTGCAGAAACATAATCCATAATACCACAAGTAAAAAATCAATTTAATAGTGTATGTTAAATAAGGACCCTTAATGCACTGATCTTTAACGCAGACTACAGCAAGCACAGTCTCTATACCAGCCTACCACTATTTGCAATAGTCACACACAACAGACCCTTCAATAAAACAGGAAAGAAGCATGACATAACCACTCCCGTATATACAAACATATATACATGTCACCTTCTAGGAATTCATATGAACCTATAACACACTGTTTTGATCTCATTTAACTGATCCCATCCCTGCCCTGTAAGCATTTAAGATAAATAATGAAGATAAATATTGCTTTAAATGAATAAATTAAGCATACCCCCACTGTGGTCAGACCTTTGCATAAATTAATGTATGCTTAGTCACTGCATAGAGGTGGTGTGGGAGAATTAAAAAGAACTTAAAGCTTATGTTTTGGTTCATGCTTAAGCTGTCACTCACTAGCTATGTAAACCTGGTTAAGTCACAATCTTCTAAGCTCTCAATTTCCTCATATGAAATGGAAATAAATCTATCTGAACTATCTACTTTTCTGAGTTATTGGTAATAGCAAATAAAAGGTGCATATTCAGAATATTTTGGAAACTGTAAAGCATTATAAATATAAGGCATTTTTATCACCTAATTATTTTCTATAGTATCTTTTAGATAGAGTAGGCACTTTATATATAGATTGAATTAAATTGAAATGACTCAAAGAAAACTCAAAAGGAAAGGTAATTTTAAAAAGAGTCACGACTGAAAAGAGTTTTGTGGATTGGCTTTCTTTAATTTCATAGACCTTCTATTGAATTTTTTGATTTAAAAAATATTTGTCCCAAGATCACATGAAAGATTTAAAAAGTAAATAACATTGCTAAGCTCATATGTAGGTATATGCACATATACACACCCACACACAAAAATTTACAGAAACTGCTCAGCCTTCAGAAACCTTAAATGAAGAAGAAATAGGGAAAGAATAACTAGAGTTACAAAAGAATAACTTTACAGTTACACAGAACAACAAAACAAACTCTTCAGTGAAACTAGGAGACAAAACCAACACTACTTGATATAACTATTCTTATTATCCCCATTTAACAGATTAAAAGTAAAAAATTAGTGAATTGGAGTAAAGAATATATGGAGGTTCCTTATGTTATTATTCCAACTTTTCTCTACGTTTGAAATTATATCAAAATCAAAAGTTACAAGAAACTAATTCAAGTAAGAATCAGCAATGGATACTAAATCTAAGTGGTGAAGTTTGATGTGGAACGCAGAGTCACAAAGTATCTACCCACAATTGCTTTTTAGTTACAGAAGAAAAAAAGTAATTATGCAGTGGAGAAAATAAACAGCATCTTTACAGAGAGATCAAAATTAAGATCACCAAAAAGTGGCAAATGAATTCTGGCACAATACAAAATTTAGAGGTTGTGGAAATAAGGAGAAATTAGCAAACATGGCTAAAAGCAACAGCCAGAAAGGAGAAAAACCAGAAGAGTATGGACCTAACTTATATATCCTCTTAGATGCTGGGGACATAAAAGTGAATAAACTTACCATCTCTGCCCCAAAAGCTCCAAGTCTAGAAATGAAGACAAACATGTACAAAAACAATTGTGATATAATGTAAGATATCAATAAATGAAGAGATATTCCATGTTCATGAATTTAAAGTCTCAGTATTGCTGAGATGTCAATTCTTCCATATGTGATTTATACATTTAGGTTATTCCAATTAAATTCCCATCAGGCACTTTTTATAGAAATTGACAAGCTAATACTAAAATTTAAATGGAGCCCTGCCAGCAGGGCTCAGCAGCTGAGCATCCACCTATGATCTAGGAGATCGAGGTTCAATTCCCAGTCAGGGCACATGCCTGGGTTGAGGTCTCGATCCCCAGTAGGGGGAATACAGGAGGCAGCCAATCAATGACTCTCATCAGTGATATTTCTATCTCTCTCTTTCCCTTCCCTTCTTCTCTCTGAAATCAATAAATACATATTTTTTAAAAATAAAATAAGTAAAATTTAAATGGAAATGCAAATGACCTAGAAAAGCCAAAGTAATTTTTTTTAAGTTGGAGAAGCTATACTACCTAACGCTAAGATTTATTGTAAAGCTATAGCAATAAAAACAATGGGGCACTGGCAACAGGACAGACATATAGACCCATCAACTGACTCCTGACAAAGATGCCAAGGTAAATGATGCTGGAACTACTAAATGCCTACGTGGAAATAAAATGAACAGCAATTGTACCTAACACCAATAACAAAAATGAACTAAAAATGGATCACAGACCTAAATGTAAGTACTAAAAGCTTCAAACTTCTAGAAGAAAACACAAAAGAAAATCTTTGTGATCTTGGGATACGTATTAGATAGAACATTAAAATCATGAACCATAAAAAAATTATAAACTGGACTTCATCAAAATTAAAAATTCTGTTCTTCAAAAGTCACCATTAAGAAAAAGGAAAAGCAAGCCACAGACTGATAAAATATTCGCAATACATTTATCTGACAAAGAACCTGTATCTCTATATAAAGAGTTCTTACCATTCAATAAGACAAAGAAATCTACACAAAAATGGGCAAGGATTTGAACAGATAGCTCACAAAAGAAATATATAAATGGCCAATAAACACAAAACAAATGACGTTCAACATCCTTATGTTCAATATCCTCACACTCATTAGAATGGCTAAAATTTAAAAGCCTGGCAATACCACGTGCTGGCCAGGATGTAAAGAAATTGCTGGTTAGAATGTAAAATAGTATACACACTTTGGAAAACTGTTTGGTAGTTTCTTATAAAACACCTACCCTATAACCCTGTCAATCCACCCCTAAGTATTATCCAAAAGAAATTAAAACATATGTCTATACAAAGATGTGTACATGAATGTTAACAGATTAAAATAGTCCCAAACTGGAAATAGCCCAAATATCCATCAGTGTGAATGGATAAACAAATTGTGATAAATCCTTATTACAAAACACCACCCTACAATAAAAGAGAACTATTAATATATGCAACAGCATGGATGAACCTCAAAATCATATTCAGTGGAAGAAGCCAGACAGAAAAGGTACATTTGTATGATTCCATTCTTTAAAAATCTTAGAAAATGCAATCTATACTGACAGAAAGATCCTGGGACCAGGGTTAGGGGAGGAAAGGACTGCTAAGGAGTATAAGGAAACTTTTGAGGGTTATGAAAGTGCTCTCTGTATCTTGATCTCATGGGTATACAACTATCAAAATTCACCAAAGTGTATAATTTTAAAGGATACTGATTATAATGTGTAAATTATAATTTAAGAACATTATTTTTTAAAAGATACAATATGTTAAAGGCTTTAACAGGAGGAGGTATAGATGCAATGGGAGAACATCTCCCGCTGGCCGCTACTAAGCACCTTCGCCATCCTCTCGTAACTGGCAAGAACAGAAGGCAATAAGCCTCCCAGGACCAAGCCACACTACTTGTGTTCTAGAGAAAAAAATCCTCTACTGTGACATCTACAAGTATAAAAAGACAATGTCAGGACCTCAGAAACGACCATTATGCAATATGGTATCCATATTATAGAGATGTGTGTATTACCATATATCACATAGTTGCAAATGGATTAACTTGTCTAATCAATACTGGAGTTATCTTGCACCCAGGTGACTGCCTACCTCCACAAAGCACATTGTACAAATCACACTGCACAAGGCTACCCTTTAGGCAGCCCCCAGAGGACATAAAAAATCCAAAAGTAACTGAATCAGTGTCCTTCTTTAATGTCACTGCTATACCAAATCGTAAGAGGTACAAAGGTTTATTACAAATATCACAACTTAGGGATACTTCCTAACTTATACCCACAAGTTTAGATGCCACAAAGGTCAACCTAGCCTCACTGCTAGGGTGGAATGGAACTTAATTATACTCCTTGACCCACAGACTTGGCCAAAATACCTAATCACATTCTTCATATCCAAGTTATAAGGTGTTGAGGAAAAAGATCGATGAATCCACCTTCCAACTGTTTGCCACCTCTCTACATCCCAAGAACAGATGAAGCTAATAGTTCAAGTTGAGGACACTGAAATCTAATTCAATACTCTCACAATTGGCAACACTCTGAAAAGGTACCTCAAAATTATTTAGCAAGTACACATCTTTGAATACTCTGACATAATAAGAGTAATTTTGCTAATAGCACGGCTCCTTGGCATTAGTGAACTCTTTATTTAATTTATTAATGGTTCTGGTTTGAGCTAATTATTTATGAAGCAGAGAGTACATTTCTGGTCTCTTAGATCTAAAGCTCTTTAAACTAATTACTGCATCAACAGCAAATGACGTCACTTTTTTCCCCTAGAGAATTTGTTTCAAGCTAAAGCAACTCTCTCTATATTCCTACTTTTAAAGAGGACACACTGTAAATGACTGAATCTAGTATTCCAGCAAAACTCAAGAGTGTTGAAATAGGTGAACCACAAAAGGCTTAAAGTACAACCAAAATAAAAACACACCAAAAAAACTAGGAAATATAAAATACAATCCATACCCTCCTCTCTTTACTGTTCTTTTCTCTACCAGTAAATACAAATATCCCTTTTACAAGAAAACCTAACAGACTGAACTTCAAATAACACAATTTCTAAAGCATGGGTATCCATGCATTTATTCATTCAACAACCTTTTTTTTTTAAAAAAAAATATATCTTTATTGAGAGCGGAAAGGAGAGGGAGGGAGAGAGATAGAAACATCAACGATGAGTCATTGATCGGCTGCCTCCTGCATGCCCCCAACTGGGGATTGAGCTGCAACCCGGGCATGTGCCCTGACCAGGAATCAAACCCCAATTGCCATGATCCTAGGTCCAAGCTCAAGTGCTGAGCCACGCCCAGCCGGGCAACAACCAGTTTTGAGAACCTACTATATCCCAAGGGCCTTTTAAAGCAGTGAAAATATAGTAGTAAACAAAACAGACAAAAATGTCTGCCCTTGTGAAGGTTATAGTTTAGTAGTAGTGACAGACAGGCAGACACACAGATAGACATACAATAAATAAATAAATAAATAAATAAATAAATAAATAAATAAATAAATAAATAAATAAATAAATAAATAAATAAATAAAATATATAGTGGGCCAATAATAAATGTTATGCAGAAAAATGAAGTAATAAAGTACCATAGAAGTGGGGGCACTTTTCATTATGACAATCAGGGCAAGGCTCACTATCAGTGTGACATTTGAGCAAAGAGCTAAACAAGATAAGGGAGCCAGTCATGAAAATCCAGGAAAAGAAATTCAGGTATCCAGACTGAGCCAGGTGAAAGGGGTTAAGAGGTGAAGGTCAAGAAGACAGGTAGTAGGCCTAGGGGAATTACAGATCCTGTGAGCCCTTAAAGGCAATTGTGGGGCTGAGAGCAACATGGAAAGCCTTTGGTGGACATGGAGCAGAGAAGGGATGGAATAAGATGTAACAATTTAAAAGAACCGCTTTTAGAGTTCCTAATCTGGCCCTGGTAGGAAGTAGTGTGCATTACATCAACCTCCTTGCAAAGAAAAATTATAGCCTCTAGACAAATATTTAAAACACAATAATTTGAAGGCACTGTAGAATGACTAAGTTCTGCAGGCAGAGAATTTGACTCATAAAAGAAAAAAAAAAACATGTAAGGTGAGAGATTCACATTTATATGATTTTTTCCCAATCCATGCAGCATGGGGTGGCTAACAGTCAAATAGAAAGCCTCAGGTTTGGCTTGAGGGATCAGCAGTATCATTTCTAGATATTTACCCAAGAGAAATAAAAACGTATGTCCACAGAAAAACTTGCATACAAGTGTTCATAGCAGTCTTATTTATAATAGCCAGAAACTGGAAATAGCTCAAAAGTCCATCCAGAAAAGTATGGATAAATAAATTGTAGTATTTTCATACAGTGGAATACTACTCAGCAACAAAAAAATTACCAATACAGGAAACAACATGAATAAATAATAGAAAAACATGCTGAGAGATATTAGCCAGATACATTTATTTGAGTTCATTTATATTAAGTCCAAGAACAAACAAAACCAGTCTATGCTGATGGAAAAGAACTCAAATTGCGCACTTTCCAGGTCATGAAAATATTCTCTATTTTGTTATGAATAATAATTAAATGGGTGTATATTCTGAAACTCATGAAAGTGAACACTTAAAAATCTCTGCAATTTACTGCAAGTAAATTATATTTCAATAAAAAGTAGTAAATATAGCACCATTAAACCTCACATTTATATTCAGTTAATTTCAGTGCATGGAAAAAGCTTTTATTTGATTCATAACATGCTAATAACTAAAGTAACAAAAGAGGCAAAAACTTGAGTTATATGTGGATATAATTACAATAAAATACATTTCCTATGAATGCAGAAGATAATATTAAGAAGCATTTAAATGTCAAATCCGAATTTCTCATTTCTTATACTCTATATAAAATACAGGTATTTAACAATTAATGAAGCAAACAATTAGTTGTTAACACTTAAAAAATAAAGTTAATTTTATTATAATGGCTTTAAAAGGGTATTTTTAAGAAAGTTATAAGAACATTATTTTCTTAGGAACAATGACCATCCACTTTTAAATGTAGGTTTCTCAAGAATCTATGAGAAAATATGATGAAATTTCAGTATATAATGAAATGAATACATATGAATAAATTTGCCATATAATCGGTAAAGTTAAGAATACTCTTAACAAGAGAAAATCACATTAAACAGATTTTGAACATTCAAAGCAGATATAACTGTCAAATTTGTATTTTAAAACGCCCTAACAAACACATGAATGCATTTTAAGAAAGGGAATCAATGCATGTAGTCTTTAAAGAGCAGATTACTCAGAGTGCTTAAGTATGCCTTACATATATCTCTCATAATCATATCTGGTACTAACTAAGGAATAAAGTTAACTTAGAAATGTAAAAATATTTTAGAAAAAATGTGGTATAAAGAGAATACAATTATTTTCCTTAAAGTCTCAGAAAAAAGATATATATGTCAATAACATTTAACATGTAAGTATGTGTTGGGGCGGAGATGTTGATCATGCTCTGTTGACTGTGATTATTAGCTATAGTTATAGGAAATTATTAATCATGTTCTGTTAACTGTGACTATTCTGTTCTAATTAGAAAAAGCACTTTCTAACCCAGCTGGGAGTTGTACACCCCAGGACATGGGAATTATCCTTAGAATGCGTTCCATTCTCCTTTCCCGAGAACTGCCTATCATCATGGACAGATTAACAACCTTGTCCCAAAACAACTGAATCCTGGAGGCACCTGCCCATTGCAACTCCTAGCCCCCATTGCCTGCAATCTGGTCCCTGAGGCGCCAGCCCTTTGCGAGCCCTTTGCAACCCCAGCCCACTTTGCCTACTTCCCCATGCCTAAGTAATTCCTGCTTTCCCACGTAATCTTTGTGCTTCTATCCAATATAAGCAGCTGGCTTATGGAGGGTGGCAGAGCAGATTTCGTGGATGACCTTACTGCTCTCCCAATTTGCTGGCAGTATTGGAATAAATGCTCATATACGATTCAACCTGTCTCCGCTTAATTGGCTCAAGTAGTGACAGGCGGCCTGGACCCATTGTCGTCTGGTTTCATATGTACATTTAGTTTAGTAGAAATATATGTAAAGAAACTATAAACAAAAATTCAGGAGTAACATTAAACACAGTACTGAAGTTCTGTCTAAAAGGGGATTCATAATTTAATAACTGTCATGACTACATTGGTATTATAACAAAAACCAAACAGAAAACCCTTTTACAAGAACACTGCTGGCAGAGTCAACACTGATAAAAAAGAGACAGATACAAATTATAATAAGTGGTGGTGACATTCAGTCTCATATCTCCAAAGAGGTTAAGATAAAATATATTTTTTAAAACAAAAGAGATGGGATAAAATTTTAAAATCCCTTCAACCATATCCTGCAAAAAGCTATCACTAAAATTAATTTCCAAAAAATAAAAAATGAAGAGGTGTTTTTAAAAACTGAATATAAGCACCTGTTGATTTTTAAACTTATTATGTAATTGACTCTCACTCTTAAAATTTAGAATTATTACCCACAGATCTTCTACTATAAGTACCCACCAGACAATTCATGTGAGTGAGCCCCTAAATTACCATTAAAACCATTACCTTAAGTTATAGAGGCACATTTTAAACTGCAAATTAAAATTAAATCACATTGTGGTAGAAAATATGTATGGAAACAACTTTTATAGGAATATTGTCTATATACTCTTTTGCCTGACTTTACCCCTACAGAATATTATACCTTAAAAACTCTTCAGGTATAATAATCTATGCCATACATTATTGAAAAATATCTTTGATATAACATAACCTATACCTTGTGGGGAGCGAGAATCCTCTGCCTGAATTTTTCAACTGTTTCTTGACCCATGGAAGACCAAGTATTGACAAATGCTTCTGCTTTGTCTTGTGTAAGGTGAATGTTCTCCAACTGCTGCTGCAAAGCTGCGGGCTTCACATTGTGATATACTGCCTATCAAAGAGAAAAAAATTACATACATCTCTAATGTCCATACACAGACCTTGATCTATAATGAAATACAAAATTAATTAATTTAAATCAAAAGAATATTTTACATTTCTATTGCACAGTCGTTTTATTATTTTACAAATAATATACCATTCCAAGGGTTGAAAGATTTAGGATTAAATAAATGGCCTAAATTATTCAGGCTAAACTTTAGTTACACCTGAGGTATAAGTAATCCTAAATCTACCTAACGGAAAACCCTCTTTGCTTTAGCTATGTAAATGGCACCCTAATTAAAATTTCATTTCCTGGGTTCTCCACTGCCCCATCTCAGGTCCAAACAGCCTGGGCAGCGGCCAGGCAGCCCAGGTCCTCAAATAGGGGGAGGGGGGAAACTGGCCTGCATCCTGCTGCCAAGATGCCCAAGAGGAAGGTCAGCTCTGCTTAGGGCACAGCAAAGGAGGAGCCCCAAGAGGAGATCAGCGAGGTTGTCAACTAAACTTGCTCTGTAAAAGTGTAAATGAAGCCAAAAAAGGCAGCAGGAAAGGATAAATATGCAGACATAAAAGTGCAAACAAAAGGGAAAAGGGGAGCAAAGAGAAAACAGGTCAAAGTAGCTAACCTTCGGAAAATGGAGAAACTTAAAAACAAGGAAAGTCCAGCCTCTGATGACGCAGGAGAGAAAGAAGCCAAGTCTGATTAATATCATATACCATGCCTTATCAGTGGTACCTGTCTCCCTTTTTGTACAATCCAGAGGAATATTTTTATCAACTATTTTGTAAATTAGAGTTTTTTAGTAGCTCTAGAAACATTTTTAAGACTGAGGGAATTCTACCTCATCCCATTTTTTTTTTAAGTGTAAATGCTTTTTTTAAATAAGTGTAATCATTTGCTGGTTGTTTATTTTTTGATACAACCAGAAAATAGTGGGATATTAGATACGAGAGGCTCTGACTGTTTGGGGTGTCAGCTTAACATTCCATAGACAGGGGTAATTTTATATCCTATAACACACAGCATATTAAATGGCAATTTGGAGTCAGTTGTATATTTACTATGTCCTGAACATTTTAAATTACTTCTATTCTCATGTTTTTGGTAGAATTGTTTCCTAAAGAAAACCACTCCTTGATCTTGGCTCTCCCTGTCAGAAGTTTGTGCACTCTGTAACATCTTTGGTGTAGTAGTCTAGCTTTCCTAGTAACTTTGTTAACGATGTACTGTGAAAGATTGAAAATTTGACTATGTAGTATATATGATATTAAACTGTGAAATAGTGAGGCTTTGATGTATCAACACTTAAAGATATTAGTAATCGATACTCTATTAAGAAAAATTAGCCTCCAAATTTTAAGCTGGGAAGTCACTGGAAAAGTGTTTAGAAAAGAATCACAACTACATGACTTTAGGTTTTCAGTACATATGTTAAGAATTGTGTACAAATTGAAATGTCTGTGTACTTATCCTCAAAACAACCAATAAAATCTCAATTATGAAAAAAAAATTTAATTTTCTCATTTCACTTAATTATTTCAAATAAGTGTACAATGTTTTGTTTCTCAACTAACAAAATTTTCCAAGAAGTACTTTCTCAAAACTACCTTCCCTCTCCCAACTGCCTAGGTAACAGATAATAAAATATTGTAAAATGTTTAACAGTGCTATCTGTTCCATTACTTACCTTACTCTGGAACAACTTCCTCATAAACCCCATGCTGCTCTGTCTTGTTTGATTATCCTTTTCACCTACTGAAGGCCGGCCAAGGACAGCCATCGTTACATTCTGTAATTCGTATAAGGCTGTATATAGTAGATGCCTGGCAGCTTGTCCTTTTAAAGGTATCTGTCACTAGAATGCTCATGAAGCTACAGTACTATTTAAAATTTAATTTCACAAGTATTCTATTTAATCAATAACAGGAATTTCAAGAGAATCTATTCTAAGCCCAGCAATATGCTAGGTTTATATAAGATGCACGCGCGCACGCATGCGCACACACAAAAACACACAAGATCCTGGCCCCACACAAATTCAAAACCTAGCGAAGAAGATGTCACTGACACCCATGAAATAATAAAAGACTAACAATGTTCTCTACTATGATGAGCCAAAGATAAAAGAAATCCAAATAAGAGGCAGATTGCAAGTATAAGGGGTCAAGGCTACAGTGGAAAGAAATGTGACTTAAAGGGAACTAATAAAATAAGCTGAATTTAGGTAGAAAGAAGAGATGCAGAAGGGCAGCTCAGTAGGAAGAAACAGTATGATAAAGAGTCGTTTGACAACTACTTCTTTTCTAAATGTTTCATTTATCATCTTAGTCAAATAAATCCCCCAAAATCATTTATTAAAATTTTTAAATAAAGTGTGTTCATTTTTCCAAGTTATTATACCAAGTAACAATAAATTAAAATCTTTTATAACTGTCTCGAGTCAATAAAGTCTTGATTCATATTGTCAAACACTTTACTCACACTTCTCAACATTATTAAGACTGTTTTGTAGAATGCAATACCGTGTGTGTATGTGGTGGGGGATGAATACATTAAAATATTTTTTTTTACTATACTGAAATTCTTAATAAAAATATATTCACAGCTTCCACTTGCACGCTTTTAAAAAAATGTTATACATATAATAGCAATACAAACGTACTAAACAACAATGGTTAGGAAGTTTGGAGCCATAAAAATACCTGTTCTAAAATGAATGATATTGTTTCAAGAACTAGGTGAAGATCCTGTTTCTCTAGAGAAAATGCAGCTTGAAGTTTTTCTTCCTCTTCTTCACTGAAACTGTTCTCAGCCTGTAACACAAAAAGCTCACATTCAGGCATTTGAAACTCAGATAGATACTCAAAAGAATTCATTTAGTCACATATGGAATGAGAATTGAGAGAAAAAGTAAATCCAAGGTGAAAGAAACTGATATGCTTGTAAATTTCAATATCTCAAAATCATAGCCCAGTTCAATATCTGGATCTTGCCAAATAAAGTTCATTTTTAAAAAGCAGCACTTTAAATTCTTTGGAGATAGAAAATAACAGTAAATACCATAACTAATGGACATTTAGAAAAAAAAAAACTAGAAGGTAAAACCCCACAATGTTAACAACAATTAACAAAAATTTCCATCTTCACTCATTCAAAACATTTCCTGAGTATCTATTTTGTCCTACATAGACAATTCATGTCCTCAGGTATCCCAAACTCTAGTTAAAAAGACATATAAAAAATTATTCAAATAATTTCCATTTTGATGAGTTCTGCAAAAGTATGGGTTATTATAAGAGTATATATAAAGCAGGAAATTGTCTTTTGTATAGTTTCCATGTTTTCCAAAACTTAAATATTACACAATTACTTTTTTAAGCAATACATGATAGAAAGAAGATAGCCATCTGAGTATAACCTCTGGCTAGTGTCCTCTTTCATTTCCAAAATAATCTCCTGACATAAAGATACTGGTTTATCAAATATGAAAAAATGCACAGTATTAAAATGGCTTTTAAATAAAAATAACTACTTTATGCACACATACTAAAAACAACCTTTACTACTACCTCTTCCCCACAGCAATATGGAGAATTTCAGAAATTCCATGAGCCTCTGCCTTGACAGCTTAGGATGATGTACAACTACACAGTTATTCAACTGAAGCCTCTTTAAAACTCAAACTGGCATATTTGGGGGGTTGGAGGATAGTCACAAGAACTCCCAGTCTCTACTACCTGTTTTATGACTGAGAAAAGCATGAACCCAATTTGGCCAAAATGCCAATTACTTACCTCAGGAACAATGTTTTTATCTGAAAGTTCCAGAATTTCTGTGACTACCATACATCTTCTTTATATAATGAGCTACAGTACCAGGTTTTATCAATATGAGAAACATAACAATATTATGTATAATTACTGAACCACATGTTGCATTAGATTAAATGGATATTTACAATTTAACTTACAAGCTGGTCAATCTGATTCATTTTAATATACACCAAATAAGATATTTTGACAAAATAAAAATAGTGACTGAGCATGTAGATAAATAAACTGCAGTGTCCCCAATATGTGCAAGGAAATAAGATTTTTTAAAAAGAAAGCAACAAAAAGAACCACCTTAACATCTTCAAGGACATTATATTAACAAAGTGGTTGGAGTGAAAGGAGACAGGGAATATTTATTTATATGCCCCCATACACTGGTACATCAAATATGCACCCTCAAAATAGAGAGGAGAAGAACAGCACATGAAAAATACAGCTATAGAACAAAGTTTTAAAGACATATTCAACCTCTTGCTCCAAAGAGGAACTTAAATATAAGTTCCTCTATTTGCTTTCAAAGAGAGGCAGTTGAACTTTTGTCTATCTACCAATAGCAACCCACACATATCTGAGAGTTAAAGAGAAGATAAAGGAGATATATTCTTTCTTATCCTCTCAATGAGAGAAAATTAAGGCCCAGGTTTATAAAATTAGAAAGTATCCAAGAAACTTAAATCTTTAAAATGGAAAGTGGGATGTTAATTTTTCCTATATTAAAAGAGCTTATGTCATAAACATATACATATACATAGGCAGAAAGGAAAAACAACACTTAAAAAGAATAAGATAGTGCTATATGGACTGACATGGAAAGATCTCTGATAAAAGTGAGAGAAAAAGGTAAATAGCAGGGCAATATATACAGTATGATACCACTTATATAAAAATACATAGACAAACTACATTTTTATGTATATGTGCATGCATATGTGTATGTACATCTGTATTTATTAATACATGGGAAAAGATCTGAAAAAATAAAAAAACTGAATTGATAATAAAGTCTACCTCTAGGGAGGTACGGTGGTTTTATTATTCTGCAAATTTTCTAGCACTCCTCCCTTCAAAAAATGGAGCTTAATTACCTTTCCCTTGAATGTGAGTCAAACCTAGTGACTTACTTTTAACAAGGAGAATATAATGAAAGTGAAGACATGTGATATCCAAGGCTAGGTCCTAAAAAGGACAGCACCTTCCTCCCTAGGATCACTCTCTCTCTGGAAGAAGCCAACCTCCATGTCGGAAGGAATGGCTTGTATGGCAAGGAACTGAGGCCTCCGCCCACTGCTGCCACCAGCTAGCCATACTAGAAGGAAATCCTCCAGCCCCTGTCAAACCTTCAAATAATAGCAGCCCTAAACCTACATCTGTCAGCAACTTCATAAGAAACCCCAAATGAGAACCATCCAGCCACACCACTCCTAAATTCTTGACCTACAGGAGCTGTGAGAGATAATAAATGTTTACTATTGCTTTAAGCTGCTAAGCTTTGGAGTAATTTGTAATTCGGCAATAGGCAACTAATACAGGAGAGAATTAAGATGGAAAGAAGGGCAAGATTTTTACATATATATATGTAAAATTGGCTTATAGAGTAAGAAATATTTCTTACTCTATAAGCCAATTTGTAAGAAGCCCTCCACCTTATATAAAATACAAAATAAATACATTTTCAGAGATAAGCTACCCTCTTCTTTTTTGTCCATATAGGTGAGACCAATTTTTTTGTGTGAAGGACTGTCCTGCACATGTAAGACATTTAATGTCCAAGAGCACTGAACGCCAGCAGCACCCACCACACACTGGAACAACCAAAAAAATCCTCAGGCATTTCTATATGCTGGGGTTTACATGTGATTGTCCTTTTGTTAATGAGACTGCTCTATCATAAGGGGGAAATACAGTGGTACAAATGAATATTAAATAAATGAACTTTTATTTTAAAATTTTTAAAGAAATATTTCTAAAATGTATGACATCTATTCTAGAAATTCTTATGCTGACTCGGGTCATGATTACAAGCATCAAAATTCTGTGCTGAACAATCCTAAAGAACTCCTAAGACACATCTATGTTTCACTTCAGTAAAAACACCCCTCAGATTTCTGTGCTTTTATATTTCTTCTGTATGATTTTCATAACTCTTCCACTTCATTCCATGATCAGTAGTCAATTCTTGAAACTGCCTAACATGCTTTATCACAGCAGGACCTTCATCCCCCAGTTTGCTGTTTCTAGTCTGCCATGCCAGGAACCCAGACAGCTGATCTCTCAGAACTAGACATAACACATAGTTACATTAATAGGCTTCGTGTGAGGGCCAAAAACTCTCTCCTACGGAGCAAAGTACATGAATTTTTTAATTGCATGAGTTGTGACAGTTATTTTTGAAACTCAAAAGCCATAAACGTTTATTTGTAAGTTTTCAGCTATGGCAGTTGCTCTGACTTCCCTCAGTATTTCCCAGTGCAGACTCTATTAGCATGATGGACGGGGCAATTCTTTGTGTAGGACTGCCCGTCACATTGCCATGGCCAGGAAGATGGCCAGTTCAAGGAGGACTCCCAGACCAATGCTGAGGCATGCCCATATCCTATACCTAAGCTGTCTTAGTTTCCCATGTTTATTCCTAGTAGGGATACCACGGAACCAGTCTGGACAAAAACGGATGATCTCTGCCCGTAAACACATTAAGCTTGGTAAAATCAAAGTGCAAGCTGGTGTCATTTAGAATAGCAATCAAATCCCTAAACCTCCATCAATCTACCAGTATCAAGTTTCACTGTTCTCAGGGCTCTGCTTGTCCAAAGGAAAAGGGCAACTTGACAGGCCAGAAGTAAATAAAAGAAAACTGGCAGATCCTGAATGGCACTGCAAACTTCACTTGATAAGAGCTCTTAATACAATAGGAGCCCTTCTGAAAGAACATTCCCTGAAACCATCCAGGAAAAAAAACAAAACCACCCTGCACCTTTCCAGACTTTCTCAACAGTCAAATACTCACAGGTGCATGCTTCTGTCCTCAGTTGCTTCAGCTCTCAGTAACCACACCTTCCCATCGTCACTCCCCTACCCAGGACGCATATCATTCAAAACAACTCCGCAGAATGCTGTGGCGGCTCAGTTACTCTAAGATAAACATTAACTTATTCTCAACTCCAGAGATGAATGACAGGGTCAAAGACAAACTACACATCCCAACTTCCCCTGCAAATATTCCCTCCTCCCTCAGTATGAAAACAAAATATGTACATAAAGGAGTTTTGACCTATACTGTTTTCTATGTTTAAGAAGGCAGCACCTACCAGCTCAGGGAATAAAGCAAAGCATCTGTATAAACTGCCTTCATCGTCAACTTTTATACTGACTTATATACTACTTCGCACTCCTTTCTGAGGTTAACTGTAATGGATTGAAGGGCTGGATTCTGGAACAGACTGCCTTGCTAGTTAGCTGTGTGACCTTGGTCAAATTATTTAACTGGTTTCTATCTCAGTTTCCTCATAGATAAAATACAGATGGCAGAAGTACTTACTTCCTAAGTTGCTGTAAGGATTAACTCCAGCCTGAGTTAATAATACAAAACCATTAGAATGGTAGCAGTTACAGAGGGAACAATGTAACTGTAAATAGCAAATTCCTTACAGGCAGGAATTTAAAGGACTTACATTTGTTTTGTGTTTCCCATAGGAAGGAAAAGAATTAACTCCAAGAACAGTTATTGAGTGCTGATTGTATAAGTATCAATGTATTATGTATGGGAAATATAAAGATGAGTAAGACATGATACTCAAGTTCAGAGAAAGACCCTATACTCATGAAACAAATAGTTATGATACAGTGCTAAAGTGAGGTGATAATGAACCAAGTGTTTTAGAAGCATAAAAGAGAGAACTGCTGAGAATGATACTAAAATCCTTGAAAGATGAAAACTAGTTTATTGACTAAAGAAGGAAAGAGGGACATTGCAGGTAAAGGAAAGAATATATATACACACACACAGTCAAAAAAGTTCACGGAACATTCTAGTAAAAGTGCAGTCCAGTGTGACTGAAGCACTTGCAAAGTGGAGGGAATACAGGTTGTGGCCATATTATGTTATTAAGGATTTTTAACTTTTCCCCATGGGGCAATGGAAAAATCACTGATGACTTTGATATAATCATTTTTTTTTTTTAGGAAAAAAATATTTGGAAAGATAAATGAAATAGCATTATGAAGAAGCAATAAGAAGGGAAAGACTAGAGGCCTTGAGATACCAATTTGAAGATAATTATTGTGCCCAAAGAAGAGATAATAAGAATCTGAACTAGGACTATAAGAAGAACTTGGCTTTGAGAGACACTTCAGATGAAGGAAGGGCTTTGGGGCTGACTCCTGGCCAGGAAAAAAAAGGGGAAAGAGTTCAAGTTCCTATTTAATGGTGATGCCTGGCACCGGGCAGAAGAGTTATTGGGTGCTCCATAAACTTGTGATGGATGGAATTAAATTTTTATAACCTGCTAAAAAAGCTAACTTATATTGGTGAGCAAGCTGTGAATTACTGAACATCAAAATGTCCAAAATAACCACACCCTTGAAATAAAAGTAAAAGATTAAATAAAAGATTAAATACTGATTGATAGACTACCACAGAATTATTTTTAAGAGGAAGAATGAAGTCATAAAATCAGAATTTTCCCAAAGCATTTGAAAAGTTCCATAATAAAAAAAATTAACTTTAATAAAGACACAGCTTCCCATACTTTTGACCATAGGACATTATCAAATTTTCTAGGGACCTGGTGTTCAAAAAGACACACTAGGAGACTATTCTCCGCAAAAAGTTCTTTAAATAGAACACTGAGTTCCAGTGGAATCACAAGAAAGTACTGTAAGCTATAGAAATGCAAACGTACAAACCTTCAGGTGAAGTTTTTGAAGAATTCGGGTGAGCAATCTTGGAAATCTTCCTATATCTATTGCATTTATCAGCGACACCGCTTTTTTCATGCTAAATAAATTAGTAAAACAAAGTTTTTATGTGAGCTTTCCAAGTGGAACTCTATTCACTATAAGTACAGTTGTCCATAACTGCAGTTGTCTATAAGTTTTCATTTCAACAACTGTGACTGCTATAAGATAAGCATGAGTGAATTAAAGAAAAACAGATGATGGCCAGCAAAGGAGACAGGGCATTTCCCAACAGATGCCCCCCCCCCCAAAAAAAAAGGACTACTGCTGAAAAGGTCTATTTGCCAAATTTTCTCTTTTTTGTGTGCAAGGCAAACTACTAGAGGAAGCTTACACTGTGTGGGGAATGGCATTAATTTAGCAGTAGGTGTTTAAACTATCCACTTAACCCAAAATGCAACCCTGCAAAGAGTGGGAGGAGGGAAGTGGCTATTACACCAAAAATATAAAGAAAAGAATGCTGCATGGCAGATAATAGAATTAAAAAAAATACTACCTACAAAAATCACTTGGGGTCACTAAGTACACAGCTGTTTTAAAGCCCTGCTTCGACCGTAATAACTAACTTTCAGTTCCGTGACAGGAACAACGCTGTCGCGCCGCGTTACTGCGGGTTCCTGACGGGGAGTGCTGTTGGCCGAGGCCAGGAACCGGCCGTCGGAACTCAGGACCCAGGAAGCGGGGAAACCTTAAGCCGAAACTCTCTTCCCTAAGATTCCCGCCCAAGGCGGGCGCAAAGAAGTTCCCTGCCCGCGCCAACGCTTCCCGACACCACCCACACTTCCGCGCCTCTCCCGCACCCACTCGCCGCCGCGCTGAGGTTCAACCACTTTTCATTACACGGAGTCACCGTGACTCCAGTAAGTTCGTTTTAACAGAGAACTTCCCATCACTACCGTGGACGGCCGACCTCGCCTACCCCAAACGGAGGTTCACTAAAAATAGGTAAAACGGGGACCAGAGCAACGTCACGGAATTCTGACCCCCATGCCCCCGCCCGGCCCGAGTCTGTGTCTCTGTCGCACCCCGAGGGGAAG